GGAAAATGGTGTTCATTTATTTGTTTGTTCATTCTTTCAGCATCTGCTATGTGCTGGGTAATGTTTTAGCCTGGGATAGGTGAATGCTTTCTATAAAGGGCCAAATAGTAAAGACTTTAGTCTTTGTGGGTCAAGAGGTAATGACCTCAGCTCTTAAAACAATTTTCTCTCCAAAAGGCTAAATAGTGAGTCTTTGTTGTTATTTTGGTTTGTTTTTTTTTTAAAAAATATTTTAAATGTAAAAAATTTCTGCATTAAACTTATATTAAATCTATATTCAAATGAAATATAGATAATGATATCAATGTGTGGGTGACCTCTCTAATAAATTAAACAATGGTCTAAATTGGTCTTAATTATCTGAATATATCATGAACACTTGTGGATTCTGAGACTAAATATTGAATGGTGTCAGTCTCCACCCCCCAAAAAAGTAAGCTATTTTTACAGCTTAAAAGAAACTTTAAAGTTCTTATTTCAACTTTCAATTTAGAAATTCACTGGTCTTGGCATTCTATATCCCTGGCTAAGTCAATAATTATTTCATGTAAGCTTATTTTTCAGTCATTTCATTAAACTGCTTTTCCATCAAAATTAATAATATATAGTAAAATAATAAAATGTAAAAAATATTTCTGAGCTTACTGACTATTACTAAACTAAGGTGGGTGGGGTTTGGCCAGTGGCTATTATTTGCTGACCCCTGGTTTTAGGCACTGGGGATACAGCGTTGAATGAAAGAGATGAACTTTCTTTCTATCATGGAATTTACATTCTAATTGAGAGAGACAGAAAATAAATATAATAAGTAAATTATCTAATATGTAAAAAGGGCTAAGTGCTATCAAGAAAACAGAGATGAACTGGGTATTGGGAATGTAGTGATAGAAGGAAAGTGTGGATTTTGTTTATTATTGAAGTATAGTTTCTTTACAATATTGGGTTGCTTTCTGCCATAGGGAAGTGTGAGTTTTAAATAAGGTGGTCAAGGAAGGTCTCACTGTAAAAGTGTCAAGTGAGGAAAAACTAAAAGGAAGCCAAGGAATGAGCTATGAGTATTCCAGGCAGAGGGAGCCGTCCGTGCAAAGACCCTGAGGCAGGAGCAGGCCTGGAATGTGAAGCAGTCAGAGTGGCTGAACCAGGGTGAGACAGGAGTGGTGGGTGAGGTCCGCGTGTAGACTCGTGTGTGTGTGCATGCATATGTGAGTGTGTGTGGTGTGTATATGTGTGCTTCTGTGGTGTTTGGGGCGTGAAGAGCAACTGCTGAAAGGGCCACCAGCTGGGATCTGAATTCTGCCTTATTTTCTGAGCCTGATTCTGTTCTGCTCCTCCCAATTAAACCATAGAGGATCTGCTATGAGCCCTTGGCCAGGGTCATCTCACCCGATCCTCTCCAGTCTGTGCAGTGGCTTGACCCAGGCCTGCCCCCTCTCCTGGCCTGTGGGGAAGAGTTCGAGTTAGGAATACAAGCTAATGAGCAGGGCCTCTGTTTTAAGGGGGAGTCAGAAACTCACTAGAACATCAGTTAGCCTCTCAGATTGGAAATGAAGGGAAAAAATAGAGGATTTCCTATTAGAGGTGAAAGGACAAATGTCAGGGGGATGGATATTTTGGGTGGTTGTTTTTCAGGATCTTTACTGTAGGAGAGAAAAAATGAACCACTTCCTGCGAAAGGAAAGACCCACCCCACCCCCACCCCCAGCCTATGTGTACCAAAAGGAGGGGAACACAGATGGTGCTTTCTATTTTAGCGCATCACCTAGTGCAGCCAGGCCATCTGGGACCCTATTATTAATATCTCTTTTACTAGCTCCCAGAACTGTGGAATCCTGAGACTTATAAAATTTAAAGTGAAATTTGAGGGGCTCAACATAGAATCAGCAACTTTCTATGGTCATCACCATCATTTGATAAATGACAGGATAATTTCACACTCAAATATAGGAATTACACAGGGTCAGAATCAAGAAGAGTCCTTTTAATTGAATATGGTTAACTGTGAAAAATACACTTAAAGAATGAAAAGTGAACGTATTAGTTGCTCAGTTGTGTCTGACTCTTTGTGATCCTGTGGCCTGTAGCCTGCCAGGCTCTTCTGTCCATGGGATTCTCCAGGCAAGAATACTGGAGTGGGCTGCCATTTGCTTCTCCAGGGGATCTTCCAACCAGGGGATCAAACCTGGGTCAGCTATATTGCAAGCAAATTCTTTTCCATCTGAGCCACCAAGCAGTGAAAGTGAAAGTCACTTAGTCATGTCCAACTCTTTGCGACCCCATGGACTATACAGTTCATGGAATTCTCTAGGCCAGAATATTGGAGTGGGTAGCCTTTCCCTTCTCCAGGGGATCTTCCCAACCCGGGGATTGAACCCAGGTCTCCCACATTGCAGGCCAATTCTTTACCTGCTAAGCCACCGGGGAAGACCCGCATAAAGAATATAGAAATGTGGATGTAACTATATATGTCTGCCAGCTTGGGACTCCCATGATGTTGTGTGTAACGCACATGAATTTCCTCTTGGCCTCGAAACCCTGCAGATAAATAAATGGCCAGAAACCCCTGAGGTCATTTATTTTTGTGAGTGTACAGATCTACTACCCATACAGTTTATACAGTTTATTTATGTCTGGTAACTGTGTAGACCTAATAGTCTTCATTCACATTAGAAGATCTGAAACAAAAACCATCAGCCATCCACTCATTTCAGTCCAAATATGGTGTGACATTTTGGTTTAGAACATATGCCCCATGGGGTTGTCCCGCAGCCCAGGGAGGTTTAGGAAAGTCAAGTATTTTTCTTCTTCCAGGAACTTGAGTGCTAAATATTTACAAATGTAAAGAGAGACAGTATGCCTGAGATCCTCTCAGGGGAGGAGTGTTTAACTGAGACGGGGTTTTTTTGCTTTCTAGGTTTATAGTAATGATAGATTATGGCAAAACAAATGATGAAAAATGAGAAGCATGTTGAACCGGTTGTTTGGACAACACTCACCAGCTGGCTTGTCTGGCCCATCTGTGGGGCAGTTCGGTCTCATTCTGCTTGTCTTAGCACTCGGTCCACCCTTTGCTGCTGTCCCGTTACAGTATCAGGGCCGTCCACCCACTTCCCTGCTCTCTCTGAGGGTGAGGGTGCCGTTAGAACCCAGAAGTGGATTGTCTTCTATTTTTTAAAAAACATTTATTTGTTTGGCTCTGTCAGGTCTTTGTTGTGGCATGAGGGATCTAGTTTCCTGACGAGGGATTGAACCCCAGGCCCCCTGCATTGGGAAATGGAGTCTTAGCCACTAGACCACCAAGGAAGTCCCTGTCTTCTTTTCTGAGCTGCATTTTAAGCTAATGTTACCTCTCTCCATGGTGTGTATTTTCCACTAAAATATCTAGACCTAAACTTCCCTTTTCTAAATTATGAAAACAGGTGCATGCCTATTATAAAAACTTCGAACAGTCTAGCCTATATAATGTTAAAAGGGAAGTTTCTCCTTCCCGCTGCCTGCATCCCATACTCTAGATTTCTATGGATTTCTCTTAGGAACGTGGCTTCTGGAGTCAGTGCTGGGTGCAACTCCGCCATGCTTCTTGGAAGACCCTGGACAAGTCCCTTGATCTCCCCATGTTTCAGTTTTCGCATCTGTAAAATGGGGACAATTACAGTACTCACCTCATAGGGCTGTTGTGAGGATTAAACAAGCTATTGCATGTACAGTGCCTGGAGTAGAGCATGGCGTGTAATAAGCACTAGATGCATGCTCATTACAGTTATTAGCAGTGGTAATACTATAAATACATACCATGTTACTTCGAATATAGGGTTAACTGTTGTCACAGAGGCCCCGAACTACAGCAAATCAAACAAGATAGATGTTTCTTTCTCTTCCTAGAAGTGTTTGAAGGAGTGGTAGAGGGCAGGTAGTTGCCTCTGTTCCATCAGGTTTCATCCCCTACTAGGGGTCCTTGTCTGCATCAAAACCTTATCTCTGGGCACAGCTGCAGGAAGGGGATAGAGGAAGTGAACCACTAACTTCCTTTAGAAGGATGTGACCATTTGGTTGCACAAATTACTTCTGCTTGCATCCCATTGGTCAGAATTTAGGCTCTCTGCCAAAGCTGGCTAAAAGGGAGCTTTGGCCACCCACTTAAATGTACGATTGGGCTACATCACCCCCACCTAAGCTAATGTGGTCTTTGTGCGTTAGTTGCTTAGTCGTGTCCGACACCTGGTGACTGACCCCATGGACCGTAGCCCACCAGGCTCCTCTGTCCATGGGATTCTCCAGACAAGAATATGGAGTGAGTAGCCATTCCCTTCTCCAAGAGATCTTCCCAACCCAGGGATCAAACACAAGTCTCCTGGTATTGCAGGCAGATTCTTTACCATCTGAGCCATCAGGGAAATCCAATGTCATCTTTAGCTACCCACTTATTAATAAAATGGACAAGAGTGGGAGCGGACCCGAATTCTATTACTGAAGGAAATAAAGAAGGGATCCTGCAAACAACTAGCTATCTCTGCCCCCCACACTTTCTTTAATGGTATCATTTAATGATACTATTAATAATATTAGTGGTATCATTCCAGACATAGATTTTCCATTTAGCAATATATTGAGTAGGTCTCCCTATGTCAATATAGACATATCTAGTTTATGTTGCCTCTTAGCTCACTATATTCCAGGGAATAGAATGGAATGAATGTAATTCAATGAATGACGTTCATTCAATGAATGTAATTCATTGAACCAAGCCTTATGATGGGCATTGAAGTTGTTTTCAATCTTTGTTCTTACAACGGGACAATGTGCATCCTTCTACATAGATTTTTTTTTTGCTAGCACTTCCACGTCATAGGGTTATAGAAGTGGGTTGCTAAGGAAAAGAGCATGTGCATTTCAAATTTTTGCATATTGTGAAATTCTGTTCTGAAAATATTGTACCAGTTTGTGCTCTCATGACAATACAGGGCTTCCCAGGTGACTCGGTGGTTTATTTATTTATTTATTTATTTTTATGTTCCAAATGTGATGGGTTTATTTTATTTTACTCTGATGCAAAACCAAAGATGCTACTACCATACAGAGACCAATATATTACAAGGTCATGAAAAAGTGGTGTGGGACATGCAGGACGTGATGGACAACCAGAGGGTCAGGTTGTCTCCTTTGAACATGACACTACACCGTCGCAGAGGAACACATTGAAAAAAACACTGTGGAACTGAACTGAAATGTGGCACAAACGTGACAACTTCCGGGCACGCCTTCAAGCACCCCCCTTAGGATGGACTCGGTACCTAAGCTTCAGTGTGGGGAGGAGTACAATTCTTTGGAAGAATAAAAAGTTCACACTTTTGAAATTTCACAGAAGAATTTTAAGGCCAAAACATAGTGGGTTCATTTCTCTTCACCTCCAGGGACAAAGCTGATGCTTTATTCAAAACCACATTAAGCTTCTAGTTCAAATCCCAGACCGACCTTGTGCCCTCCTGCATTGAAGTTCTTTCCATCGATTAGAGCTGACAGGGTCAGTTTCACTCCTGGTCGAAGGGTCTGAGTATAACCCAGTCCAATCAGGCTGGCATTATTTACTTTAGCAGAGAGAGAAGTTCTACAGTCCAGCTTGTACTTAGCAGCGATGCCGAAGTGGGTGTTGTTACTGCCAGCTGTCCACGCGAGGTTTATCGACGTTTCAATCTTCTCATTCACCTTCCGGTAGATTGACCCTCCAAACTCAGTGCCATCATTCACATGAGTGTGCAGCTGGAAGTCTGCAGCCTTGTAACCCAGGGCGAAATTATTCTGTGACAGTTTGGATTTGGCTGTGTCAAAACTCATCTGATAGCCAGCAAGCCAACCTTCAAAGGCCAACACAGCCCAGCCATAGATGGTTGGTCCTGAAAAATCTATATCAACATTGCTGCCAAGACTGAAACAATCCCGTTTATATGAGGCCTTCAATTTCCCACTCTTCTTTCCTGTGTTCGGTACAAATATGGTATCAAGAGTCAGTTTCAACCCTTCAGCCAACTTATTCTCCCAAGAGATTTCTGTCCCAAGAGTATTGTCTGTGTTCCACTTCTGGGTGAAGGTCAGCCCATAGTTACAAATCTTGTATTTGGTCT